TAAACCACGACAGGGCTCAAGGAGGGGATTTTCACTTTTGAGGCCTGATTAAGATTAGTTTCAGATGACTTTGCAAAGGATTAAGGAGGGTACACTATTAGCGCGTCCCAGATTGATCAAGGGGATAAAGTCAGACGTATTCTTCAGCCCAGCCTCCTGAAAGATCAACTGCTTAAATGCATGCGCACAGAACCCACTGCCTTGCCTGCCAAGCTGCATATAAACCCAGGAATTTCCCTGCAGGTTTCTTCCTGGCACACATGTATGAGCGTGTTCGCTGTGGGATCTGTGCAAGCACTGTATAAAGCTGGGTCCAAACCTTGGCAGGACATGCACAGAGAACGCTACACAGCATGAATGTGCTCAACTCCCATACATTCCTATGACAGTAAGTGGGAGTTAAGAATAACCCATCAGTGCTGATGTGAGCAGCAGAGGAAGTAGCCTCAGTGCTTATAGCCTAATGCTGCATGTTTTTATCTTCCAAGAGAACTAAGTACCAAGGACTACAGCAAAGATAAAACAAAGGCAACTCCAAAATAAGCCGACTATACGTTGCTTATGAAACTGCACCCATAATTACTCAGATTGACCAAAGAACAAGAAAAATTCTGTACCTCTTTGAAATATCTTGGGCTTACAGGCAGAAAAAAGCAAAGCGGACTGAGATATAAAATGGCTATAATGGGCTACATCCCAGTCGCTTGTTGATGACACAACTCACTCAGTACCAGTAAGAGATCCCTGCACACTTGGTTACAGAAAAGGTTCTACTCCTATGTGCATCTCTCCCATGGACTTCACATGCTCTAGTAATGAGACAAATCTCCTAAACTCAGCATGGAATACAGCCTATTATTTAGGCTACTTTGCCACTGCCAGTAGCCTGGGAGAGGGCTCTGCAGCTTCAGGCACAACAGGGTAGCTGAAATGTGAACATGGAGGAATTGCAAGGGAAAACCCAGGTTCAGCAACCAAACTACACAAGATAGTTACAAGCAAAAGGATGACCATGGCAGGGCTTAAAGGAGCTCAGAATTACTTTTTCATGAAGATGCCCACTGAAGGAGGCAGGCTGATCAAGAAGATGTGTCTTTGTACAAAAAAGAGATTACCTTGAGCTGATAGTTCAAGTGGAGACTCAAAGGCAACCCTATAAGGATTCATTAAGTTTTTCAGATTCTGAAATAGCTGAAAGGAAAACATATCGAAAGTTAGCAGCTGAAAACAAAGATGAACTCCAGGTCACCAAGAATTGCCCATCGTTGTTCCCTATCTCTAAAAAAACTTGCACTACATGTTCTTTAAACATCTAGCTCATCAGTAAATAAAGTGCTTTGAGTGACTGTTGACTGTTCCCCCCCAAAGGCTTCAGTATCTGTCCCCTTCTGCAGGCCAGTTATCACTCCTCCCCTGCCCTCTGGGGAAGGCACAATCCATAGGGTGGTTCGCCCATTCACAGCCACTCACGGGACAGGATGGCAGGATGTTTCCACAAAGCCGAAGAGTAAGTTTAGACTTCAGTCTGACTATTGACTCCCTGGGCTTGGTGCTCCTCAGCAGACATTCCCAGAGGCACAACCCAGGAAGCTCTTACCTTCTCCCCATTGGGGTTTCCAAGAACATAGCAGCCCATGATGTGAATGATATTTGGTTCAGGATTGACTTTACTCATCAGCCGGCTCAACCTCTTCCAGAAGCTGGAAGAAACAGAATACGTAATTTAAAAACAAACAAACAAACCTATCTCCTCATATGCATGAGTAGCCACAAGGATGTGTGTGCACACACTGCTCAGAAGGGGCCTGAGGCTTGTAGCCTGAGGAGCAAGCTGCTCAGGAAGAGCCATTGGTTCTTAGACAAGGAAGAACAGGGGCAGAGCAAGGGCCGGAGGAGCAGGTCCAGGTCACGTGTCAGAGAAGGAGGAGCCCATCGAGCCAAGGAAGCTCCGAGGTGAAGAGAAGGGAGCAAAGTCCACCAGGAGTGCTTTTAGACTGACAGTCCTACTAAGCATCCTCTTTTTGTAGCAGTCCCCTCAAATTTCCTCTCTCCCATTTCTACCAACAGTTGCCCTTTCTAAATATGAGTGTTATCACTGCCCTGGTTCATTTCCAGGGCATGATATCAGCAGAGAACAGCTAGAGAGGCTGTTGTTCTACATAGCTAGAGAGAAAACACCAAACCAGGCTGTTCCATGTTAGCCAGTGCTTGCTGCTGTTCACCAGTCAGACCCGCTTTACATTTTGTGACTACTGACCAGGCACACTGTGCCTAAGGGACATGAAATACAACCACCTCCCCTGTGCAGTGGGTTAGAGCAGACTTCTGGTAGGCTCTAAAGCCCAGCAGTTCTGTGGGGTCTGCGATCATACTGCAGTGTAAGCTTTTCTCAGGACTCCCTCCCAGGCACGTACAGGTTGGATGGAGACATTCACTTTCAAGCATCCGAGTTTTCAGGGGTGTGTTCACAGCTTTCTAAAGGTTCCTGAATTACCAACTTTGGACCAACTATGCTTGGAAGGCGTTCAGAAGCGTGTATATGCACATGTGCCTAAGAATTTTATTGACAGTGTTTGTGCCAGAGAATGAGGGCGCTGAACAGATGTTGATTTTAATACTCAGTCCTCATGCCAACAAAAAGTATACATCCTCTCCCCCACAACGAAGCACTGTTAGCCAAGTAAGTTTGAGTCAGCACAAGCAAGCAGGCAGCAAAACTTAACTCTCTGCAAGGAGAAGCAAAATTGCCTCAGCAACCCCAACTGAAAGGCTGGCATGCTAGTGAAAACCCTACTCAGTAACGTGCTGGACTTTGAGCAGGCTTTGCAGAGACAAATTCCATTTCCCCCTTCAGTTAGGGGGGCAGTTACCAGAGACAGCTGTGGGGGAACAGTTTGGATTTCTGCCACTAGTCACCTGCTTAGAAATGCTCTCTCAGCCACTTCTGAGCAACGGAGGCACGAGGTGCATGTTCTGGTTTCTGGCCAGCAAAGCCTTTGTTAGGAGAGGAAACATAATTTTTTCCTCTTTTGATAGTCTCTAGTCCAGACAGACACTAAACAGCAGATAAAAGCATAAATCTCCTGGTGACCTGTCCCAGGGCTGCACCACCTCAGGGATGAGCTCAGCTCTGTCATCTTCACAACTCCCTTCAGGGGAGGTGTAAGCTGCTATTAGGTCCCCCTTCAGCCTCCTCTTCCCTTGACCAAGCCACCCCAGCTTCCTCCACCTCTCCTTCTAGGCCATGTGCTACAAACATTAAGCAAACGAAGCAGAAAACTGCTACACGAGTCCAGAACATAACGCAGCCACTCACAGGATCATATCTTCCTCCTTCTCCACTTTGGCGAAAGTGGCAACTTTGTTCTTTAACAAGTATAAGTGACCAGGACCTCCCTGCAAGAGAGAGACAGACAAATGCAAACCACTTTGCGCAGGCCCTGAAGAAACAAACCCTGGATATGTTTATTGTCCTGCACAGCCATACCCAGAAGTGCCACAAGGGAGCAGAGCAGACACGCCAGGCTGGCACGGCTGCTACAACCTCCATAGCAGACACTGCAGGCACTTGCTCATGAAATATTCACATATGGGGAGTACATTGGGGGTTGGATTCTCCGGTTTTTACTGTTATATGCCCACCTCACTCTAGAAAAGCATAATAATAGACAAAAATCCTCATTGTGGGTGGCTGAAGAGTAATAGGGAAGACAAGAAAGTCCCTTTCATTTGGGGATGCTAGGGGACTTGCCATGGTAGGCAGACGAGAAGCTTAGCTAAGCAGGGATAAGCAGGCAAGATGTCACTGTAGAAGAACTGGACTTTGGCAGTAGCAGGCATAAAATGATTGAGCACAACATCAGGAAGATTAAGAGCTGCAATCTCCAGGTCAGTGTGCTGCAAACCCTGCTATTTTGCAGCATTAGGCACGTGGGAGGGAGTTCAAGTTAGGTTACCTTCCTAACTTCTCATTTCAAGGTTCCTTGCACAGCTGACAGGGAAGTCCAAAGCTGACCACCTTAAAGAACAAGAGACTTGGGAAGAAAATCCCCAGCAAGCTCCAGATCCAGCAGGGCCTGAAGATGTCCCATCCACAGCTCAGCAAGACTATACCCTGACCCTTCTCCCGCATATCCTGGCCTCCAGCTCTGAGCTGTGCCGTCTGCCAGTCTGATCCACAACACCCACTACTGTCACTGTCATACTGAAGCTGTATGAAAACTATAACTATCACACTGCAAATGCTTGTTCCTTTGCCTGAAATCTTCCTTTTGAGGCCTGCGCCAATGCTGGTTTGCCTGGGTTTCCTTGAAAGCAGCTCAGCTCTGGAGTTGGCCACACTAAATCAGATTTTATTTCCTGCTGTCACAGCAACTGGAGACTGCTCGCTGTCTGGGGAAATGAGAAGTGAAAGCCGTACACATGCAGTTACTTGAACAGAACCTGACTTTGGAGTATTGGTTCCTCTATGTAATTTTCCCTGTAGAAGAAGACAAATTTGTAACAAACCACTCAAATACGCTTAACGACTCTCCTGTACCTGGCAAAATATCAGCATCTTCCAGATTTTGCAGCCTTTCCGATAAATGTTAAGCTTCTTCTCTATTTCCTCTGCAAAAAAACATGTTGGAAAAGATGAACAAAGGAGGAAGTTAAAAATTAATCTTATTTCTTCTCACTTTAGTCCTGAAGGCAAGAGGCTGAGCTGTGAGAGGTGCTCAGCACCTACATTCCCACTGATGTCAAAGCAAACCCTTTGCTTTCATGCTGTGGAAAGCAGGAAACCCCAGCATAACACAGGGCAGAGAAGGTACAGTGCAGCACCAGACATTGCTCTATAGAGACCACAGCTCTGTACCAGACCCAGCTGTCCTGACCCTCTGTTAATGCTCCTACCCACCTACAAGGGTACAATGAACAGGTATCTTTGCTGCCCTGTGCCTCAGCTTCCCGTTCATAAACCAGGAGCTTGGCATAGAAAATGGGCTACAGAAGTGAGGTTTTATTACTGCAGCACATCCAACAGCAGCTGACTGACTGTCAGGTGTCACTGGGGTGATAAGAACACCTTTATGAGTGGCAGCTGAGGCACAGGGCAGTGGAGTGACTGTAAATATTGATCAGTTACATTTGCAATGGGCAGAAGTTAAGAAAAGGAAATAACACTCACATACCTAGGATGTCATCAAAGGTGGCATGTTCATGGTCCTGGAAACCAAGAGAGAAGACATATCAAGGGTCACTGTCACTACATCAGTTCCCATGACATTATTATAGTCTCTAATATTGCACACAATCCCATTCCAGGCAATCATGTGCTTTAAGAGCACAACTATACCAGCTGATGGCTTCTAGTCACATCACAGTGATTACCATCCTAAAAATGGTCCATAAAGACCAAGTCCATCCAAAGGCTTGAAAATTAATCCTGCAGATAAATCCAAAGCACATACCATCAGATGCAGTCAGCATCAGCAATGTGTATTTGGCCCATGTTTTGTAGCCACCCTCTGGCTTTTACACATGTCCAAGCTGGCTAACGAACAGCCACACTCCCAGCACATCTGCCTCTGGCATAGCAGGGTCATCAGGACAACTGTACAACTCTCAAAGGAAGAGAGAGGCAGCAAAGCTAAACCCCCCAGCAGCACTGCCTGCTGCGCATGGACACTGAGTTTTCCGGGCTGTCAGTCCAACCCTTCCCTTTCAAAGTAAGTGAATATAAAGTGATTATGAAAAAGAGACCCATGACTCCTTGCTGGTGTTTCAGACACCTGCTCAGGCAGGACTCCTAGTGAAAAATCAAGGTTAAATTCATAACTGACAGGGATGCACCACTGTACATAGGGTGATGGGCTTCACAGTCCACTGCAGAGCTCTGAGGTCCTGCTCATCCTCAGGATGAGCATAAGGAGGAGCCCTAAGCCTGGCAACACGCAGCTCTGCTTGTGTGCTCAGGCCTGCCCTGCCTTCCCTTGTTCATCTTCCCATGCTGCCTGGCTGTGCCTGCATAGTCTGGCAGCTCACATGTGCAATTTTCACTCCACCTTACTCTTCCACCTAGACCTGAGTCCCCAGAAAGCTACCCCAGACCCCAAATATGAGTTCAGCACAGCCCCAGCCCTCTCCTGACAGCTTTTCCAAATCACATCCATGTTTCAGAATCACCATAACAGGAACTAGGGATAGGGACAAAAAAAATTCTCTGTATGAAGCTTGCTCCCACACATCCAGACATAGCGGAAGTGATATACTTACATAGAGAATGGGGATGATAGAGGGATCGTCCCTGCGGATAATTGTCGGGACATACTCTGCTTTGGGCACCTTGGAAGAAATGAGCTGGAAGGGGAAAAAAGAAGTGCACCAGCATGAGGAGAAGCCAGTACAATCTGGAGAGAAGCACACAGGCCATGGTAACAGTGCTCTGTTCAGTTGCTCTCAGGTATTACCCAAACTAGCAGCTAATCCAGCTGCATCCCTGTGGAAGGTCCTCCTACTCCACTACAGAGCACCCCCAGGCCTGCCAAGTACCCCCATGTGTCACAGTCTCCTTGACCCCCAACAAACAAACACACAGCCCTGCCCAAAAGGCAGGACTGAGTCTGGGATGACAGTTTGTAAAGGGGAGACCCATGTGCACAGAGGATGAAGAAGCTTGTGCATCACCACGAATGGCTGTATCCCAGTAATGATCACTTCTGTACAGCCTTCCTCTGTGCAAGGGTCTGTGCTTCTGGCTGTAGAGGACTGTTCAAACTGGCACGCGTAGCTGTCTGGTGGTAGGACAGCTGCATGCCTGAACAGGAAGCAGCCGAGGGATGAAATGGCATCAGGCGCAGGTAGGCACACAGCCGTAGAATGTCAGGCAGATGCAGGTTGCCTGGCAACTCTGGCTGAAGATTCAGCTGGCTCCATCAGCATGACAGCGTGAGAGGATGGGCCTGCCATCGGCACAAACTAAAGGGGTATGGGAACACAGGGCAATTTGACTGTGCTGTGATTTCAGGCACCTCTGCTCATCAGGGTGGAGCAGGCAGCAGTGCTGGTGGGCTTGTAAGTGCAGCCTAGGTTCCAGCTTGGGCTGGCTTCAAAGCCCTCCATCCTGGCAGGCAGCATATCACTGTTTCGGCCACATGGGAGCTAACATAAAGTCTCTGAAGAGGCACAATATACAGAGTCCAGGGATGGACAATCATCACATACACCACCTGGCTCCCAGGAGACACACTGGAGGTGTCAAGTGCCGAACAAACCCAAGCATTAGGTTCCTAGAGTTTGGGTCTCACCTGGTCACTTTGCCCTGAGGGTGCTTTAGGGATGAGTCTGCACAGACAGCCTGGGAACACATATAAAAGCAGACTGTCTCCATGTCTTTCACTCTTCCCAAGTCTTAGCGGGATGCATTCAAACACAGTACTGCTGTGCTGGACTGGCAGTGCTGCCCCAAGAACAAGCTGGAAGCTTGAGACTCCATTTTGCCTGAGTACTTGTGCATGTGGCCAAAGAAGGGATGTGTCAGAACCTGGTCCTGTCTGCCAAACCCCACAGAGCAGAGCAGAGAGGAGCACAGGGGGAAGCTTAGCATCAAGGAATGATAAAAGAACAGAAAGCATCTCAAGGGATGACATACCGCTCCAAAGCAAATCAGGCAAATAACAACAGGAGGGAGGGACTGCTGGGACTGGGGACTCAGGTCTCTACTGTCAGGGTTATGGAGACTCACCCTAACTCGATTCAGTGTTGGTGACAGTCCTGCTCTGATTTGGGGTTGGACTACAGGTCCTTCCACTTCTAGTTTTCTTGCAACACATTATCCCCAGCAATAACAGATGCTGAATACCATGTCATGTCTTGGCTGATCTCTGAGTGGCCCTCATACACACCTGAAGAGTTGTCTATATAAAAGACTTGCCTCTTCCCATGAAGACCCTAAACTTAGCAGCTCTGAAAGGACAGACAGAGCCTGAGTAGAAACAGGTAGCTGAGTTGAAAACCCTCACCATTATTTTTGGTGGAACAAAGTCCTCTCCGTCACATGCCATGGCTTCAAGTTCCTTTTCTGCTTCCCAGTTCAAGTCAAAGTCACCATCCAAAGTGCCGCAGGAATCCTGAAGATCATGGCCTGCCAGAACACAGTGTGCATTACAAGGGCAGAACAGCTTGCCTTCCTGACTCGATCCAGTCTGGCAGCTACCTCACAAGAGGTACCATAAGCCATGAGACTCGTGCCCTCCTTTCTTCCACAGAGCAACAGACACCACACTTCGGGGCTGGCGTCTCTAAACAGAAAAACACTTAACGAATGAAGAGTGCACACACAGAGCCTGATACCACATATCACATAACTTTTCATCACTCTCACAGTCACCAAGTTTACCTTTCAAATGCTACTTCACAACAGTCACCCTGTCATTTCAGAAATGGAGAAGGAGACAGAATGCAGACAGACTCTCTACACTTTAACATTGCCAAGCTGATGAGCAAAAGTCCAAAGACTTCAAAGCTGGTCTCCTTGTAATAATTACTGCTCTGAATACATCTTCTGAATGATTATAAAGAAACTCTGCCTTGTTGGTCAAACTGATCCTGGCAGAGAAGTCCCAGAATGCGAGGACAGCCATAGCAAACACAGTAGTATTGCAACAGTATACTTGAATTTGCTCTCCAAATTGACCTTACCTGTTGGCCTTCAATGCCTCCTGGAGAAAAGAAAAAAAATATCTGGAAGGAATATAATTGACCATTAAAGGTTAAAAATAGAGATGGTTCCCTGAAGCCAGGGACTGAGGGAAGAGAACCAAGATGCTTCTATTTGTGCTTTTGGGATGTCCGAGTGTCACTGGGCAGTGCCTGGAACCTGTCTGAACCATGTCTTTTCCATTCGCCTCTGAGTTAGCTGAGGGAGCGGGGAGGAATCAGACTGCAAAGGAACAATCGGGTCATGTTTTGAACGTGGCCTTTCATACATCTCCCCCTACAACCTGGTACGGTGTCTTCTACAGCTAGACGGGCTGGATCTCATGCTTACCTGGTAGGTCAGTTCATTTCATTAGTGAAATTCATTTACAATACAACCTATTTCAACATGGGCAAACTCATATCCACCAAGTCCCTTGCCTACAGGATTTCAATAAAATCTGGGTAAAACAGCCATTCCCTTTATATAAAGACAGTGGGAAGATGCTGGCATTTCCTCCTGTAAATTAACACAACAGCATCTCAGTTCCCACAAGGAGAACATCACAGCATTACTGGGGATTCCCAGAGGAATTCCTGGCAGCCCAAACGAAGATCAGATTGCCCCAAGCTATCATCTGTGCAGCCAAAATGGCCAGGAAATCAAAGCTACATCTCACGGAGCACTGCAGCTGTGCTCTTGAGCTATTCTAGCCTAGGAAAGAGCTCAGAAGGGGCTCTTGCACGGGAAGCCAGGCAGGTTAGCCCCACTACAGTGAACGCAGCCTTGGACTGGTGTGCTTCCGGGTAGGTTGTTTTGGTCCCAAGTGAATAAAGGATGATGAGAACAGAGGGCTGTAAGACAGCTGTACCACTGGGTATCCTTTGGCAACTGCACAATAAAATGAGATTAGATGCATTGTGCTCTACAAATAAATACAGGTACACACAGATGAACAGGTGCATATACCTGAAGTGTTATTTGCTCAGATCTCATGAAACTAAAAGGATCACAGAAGGGACAAAAGGGCACAGAGGAGTTACTCCAGTGGGACTCCAGTCAACACCTCAGCTGGAGGGTTTGGCCACAGGAGGAAGCTCAAAGGACTCAGAACTCACTTTCTCGAGAGTCATGGAAGGAATCAGCTTTGATGGGAGTCGGGTCACTCCAGGACCTGCTGAAGCTCCTCTCACGCCGTTCGGCAAATGCTAGGATAAAACCAAAGCACTTCATTAACAGACTCCAAAGCCACCTCTGTTGCTGCCAGCAAAACAAAACATCCAGTAGATTTTCACCAAAGCTACACATCACGGACTCCCCTGTGCTTCTTCTTCCACTTGCCAAATGCGAGTCCTTTCCACACAGCAAACAAGGTTCTATCTTCTAGACAACAGAAGACAAAGTGCCCACTTTCTGAGCAGGTCCATTATGGGGTATGTAACACAGAAAAAGGAGGACGCTTGATGGTCTCTCCTTTAACACACACTGCTCAAACCTCAATTTAATCGAAGCTATTCCAGTGTCCCATTGTAAATGCTCTGACTCAAAGGCCTCACAGGAAGACGTACTCAACAGCTAATGACACATACATGACAAGAAGGAGGCAGTAGCTCTCCAGTCAGTTCTCCCTTCACATCTGTTTTTGGGCAGGCACTCTCTTCATGTTCTAGTGACTTCCCAATCACAGCTGGATCAAACATAGGGGGGGCCTCTGGAAAGTTCATGCTTTCTAAATTTTGTTCCAAAACAAAAAATCCTTCAGTTTTTTCTTGCCTGCACTCTTGTGAACACACCCCCCTGCTTTCCCCCTCCTCCCCCCCACCCCAAGGGGCATTGTTTGTACTGGCATTTCCCACACAGAATCCAGGGAGCTTGGCCCAGCTGGCTGCACCACAGGCAAATTCCTGGGAACTGCCAACCACAATGTCTGACTTGGCAAGCCCATGTGAGAGCCATTACACCTAGATTAACAGCCACTTATAGCCACTAATACCTATTTCTGGTAGTAGACAGAGCAAGTTTGCTGCAGTGTATCTTATGTCAGTGGCACAGAAATTCACTGCAGATCTGCATTACAAGAGCTGAGAAGCAACCTGTCCTCTGTTGCCGTGTGTCCAAGTGTGGGTGTCCAGGGAGACAAATTACATAGGAAGTTCTTCAGGTGACCTCCATCCTCAGCTTTCATTTAAAACCAGGCATTTAGCTATTGTGCACACCAAGAAAGCTTTGAAAACATGACCCGAGAGTTACCAAGGCAGAAAGGCATGCCTGAACTTCCAGACAGCTCTAGGGGGAGGTGAGCCCTGTTCATTTCAGGCAGTGCTAACTCAGATGCCAATAAAGACAGTTTAAAGGGCAATGCTGTTTGCTGTTCACTTCCCACAGCATACAAGAAAGGAGAGGAAAGGATGCAAATTCAACTCGGCAATGCTTTGCTGTGGGCAGTCTGTACACGATGCCTGGCCAGGGGGTGGGAAGAACAAGCTGTTTCCTCTTCTGAAGCAATCCTCAGCTCTTGGGAGCTGGTTACACCATTCTCAGCCCATTTCAGAGCAATAAGGGAGCTGCCCCAGCCAAGTTATGGAGGAGTATTGCCTTCCTCAGGGAAAGGGAACTGCCATTTCCCAGGCCTAAGAGCTGATTTCTTCCCCAGTGAGGCATAACATTCCCTTATTTCCCCCTTGCTCCAATCTCTTCCCTGTTCCTCTTCTTCCTCCCTTCCACCGTCCTCTGAGCTCCCACCAGACAACTTTCCACCAGGTCCTGCTGTGGAGGTGGTGGTGGGACAGGGGAGGAGAAAAGAGAAAGCCGCCAGTCCACATAGCACATGAAGCACTGACTGTCCCCAGGGAGCCACAACTGGTCCGCAGCTTCAGTAAGAGGCCAGGCAGCCCTCACCAGCTCTGCTGAACTCTCAGCTCTCGTTCTCCTCACAAGCCTCTATGCCGGTGATCACTGAAAACCACACGCACATGCGACAAGGACGCTGCAGCTCTCCTTCTACTCCTTGCACTGAGGCCACAGAGATCTCCCACAGCCAAGGCAGAGGGTCTTCAGCAATAGCTTACAGGCTGCTTGAAGATATCAGTGTGTCTTGGAGACTTGCAACAACCTGGCCTTCTTTTTTGTAGGGTAAAATGGCATCAGCAGGTCAAATCCTTTCTCCAGCCCAGTGCTACGTCCTTTCTACCTGCATCTGTGCACAATGTAGGGTTCCCCATGTCCCACTGGCACAAACCACAACTCCTCACAGCCACATCTTACAGATGCTCACTTACTTTGTGCTTTAACCCTCCGGCTCCCCACCATGCGGAGGTGCTTCCGAAAATTCCTGAAAGAAAGGCCAAACAAAATCTCTGAGAAAGGTAATATGAAGCAATACTCGGGCCCAGCAGGACTGAAAAAACTGGGAGGAAAAAAAAAAAAAATTGGAAAGACAGCATATTTCCTTCTGGGTGTTCAAAAGCTGGAGACCAGGTTCCCAGCTTGCACCTACTCAGTGCTGGGGATGGTTATCTTTGTCCAGAGTGTGGCTGTTTCTTCTGAACTCCCTGGGCTGGTGGTACAGGGCAAGTGAGGTCCTACATGGCAGTCCCCTTCTCACGGCCTGCTTTCACTTTCCTATGACTAAGGCACCTGTGCTGTAACTTTGCTGAAGACACTGCTACTGCTCATGCTGGCAATGCTCCCTCTTCTCCTCGTAAGCAGCAGTAACTGCTCCCCTCTCTCCTTTCTTCCACACATGCCCCAGCAGGGAAGCGGGGTGCACAGGCTCTGCCCTGCCAGGCAGCATGCATACACCATGCTCATGGCTGTGCTTGTTCCCAAACACATTCACAGCAGCTGCTAAAATCCCACCCGTGCTGTTAGCAACCATGCAGCCCATGCTGCTCTCCAGGGCAAAGAGCTGGGAAAGACTGAAGCAGCTTCTTCCTTCTTGGATAGCACTGTTCAGCAAGGCTGACTGTCCTCATGGACCTGCCTCATGCTAATGCTGCCTGCCTAACCACATGCTTCCCTGTCCAGGACTCACAGGCAGAGTTCAGTGGGGCTGCAGAGTACACAGCTCCAGAGGAAAGTCCACCAGAGGGTAAGCTTTGGGGAGCATAGAATCGTAGAATCTTTTAGGTTGGAAAAGACCTTTAA